ATATACATATACATATACATATACATATATATATACATATACATATACATATACATATATATATATACATATACATATACATATACATATATATATACATATACATATATATACATATACATATACATATATAAAATATAATATAATATAATAGAACATGTTTATTTATTGAGATGCCCCTATGGACCTTGTTATCGGAGGTAAAGATCAGGAGAAGTAAACATGAAGTGTAATTATGAATACTGATGTTAAATTAAGCTATGATGAGTTTTCACTGTTAATTTACCATCTCAATTAAATGTTGATGCCTCCATGACCAAGTTAAGCAGATGAGACTGAGGACAACTATGTAGAAGAAAAGATGTTCACTTTGCCTAATATGTAGCTTGACAGAGTTCTCCATGTGTGTCCTGGTGTTCTCATGTTTCCTTACCTCCTCATCCCTCACTCCCTAACTGTCCGTGCTGGATCTGTCCCTGTTGTTTTAAAAAGCTGAATAAGTTATTAGCATGACGTCATCCAGCTAGCCAAACCTGTCTGGTGTACAGTAGAGAAGCTTCGCATGTACTGTTTCCCATGTAGTCTGCTGTCTGATTGTGAGGTCAGGCTGATCTGGGATTAAGCATTTCATACTTAACTAATGCTTCATAGTGTGTAGTTATTATGAAGTGTTACCAAAATATTTACATAAAATGTATTACTTTGCCAGGACTTTATTAATAACTATCTTCCTTTCTGAAACAGTAAAATTCCCATGGATGTTGCTTACAAGATATTTAGATGTTTTACAGCTCCTCAAGGGGGCCGGAAAAAACTTGTATTTATAGCAACTTCACATCCACATTTTATTTCAATTCTGAGTATGAATTTAATGTGTGATGGATGTAAAATAATATGGGCTGCATATGTTGAAAACTCTTGATTTTGGAGCATTGCTGCTGAGAGTTTATATTATGCTCTTGTGTTTTGCCTTTTCACTCCAAAAAAACACGGTGTTTCTCAAAATCAAGGCAAACTAGGTTCAGGTAAACACCCTCAGTTATTTAACGTTGTAAAGCCGAGTACCGTTCATTGATTAATATTTGATCTATAACTTGTTCAGGTAAAAAAAAGAATGCTGTGGAACTCCCCCGTGGCTGAAAGGGATGACCTTTACCCTTGCTTTAAAAAGTTATTATTTCACCAAGAAAAGAAGAAAAAAGCATAAAAGCTTGATAAGAACAATGGTTTTCTTTATCTAAACATGAACTTACCATTAGTATTGTTATCATTATGGTTTCCATTCACATTGTCCTTACTCATCACAAGATCCAAGGACATATTGCAATAATATTGTTTTTTATGATTTTAAATAAAAACCTTTGCACAAACTAAGATATGAACTTTAACTACACTATCAACTATGATTTGTTGAAATGATTATTACAGATGAACACCCTTCTTTAAATGGATTTCATTATAGAATAAAATAACTGGTGTGTTTACAAAATACACAGAAATGTAATTCATTCGAATGTCCTTAGCTTCAGTAGAGCAAGAGTCTAACTATGATCTTGTTCCACAGGTGGAAGTTCGCAGCAGGGCGACCTTTGATTGGTGTCACCCCCACTACTGGGATTGTTTCCAAGGCAACTGTGGCTCTATCTCCAGCAATGACAGAGGTATAATTGATAGCAGCACCAATGCACCACAATTCAACCAACAATGGTGTCAAACTGAAACAGTCACCACAAGAAAGGTCCGGAGTGACAGACCTTTTGAATTAAAGTGAGTTTTTTTTCTTCTTCCCTTACAAATGCTGAATATTGTATTTGTTGTGCTTATCATAAAAAGCAGCCAGTGTTCGGTGCAGTATTTCAAGAGTGTCTTTTGATTGATGCACATACCAGGTCTGCTAGCTGCTGTTGGATCCCAACGCGTCACGGGCTTAGTATTTGGAGGCTACTGACTTCACTGGATTTGGGATCAAGATCTGACACTGGAAAACCAAACAGATCACCTGACATTGCCATTCTACCTTTCCTACGGTAAGTCCTCCGCAGTTAGCATGAAACAGCTAATCTAAGCTACTATCAGTTTGTTAAAGAAACTGTGGAAAATGTCCTACTTCACTGCCTCCCAGTGGTTGTACAAAAAAGACACCGTGGCAGTCCACAAATACTGACATGTAGGGGCTGGAATCGAAACATGGTCTGCAATCTGTATCCTACAGTTTGTCTCCCAACAAAATTATATGCCATCAGAATAATTTGGAAAAGTGTATTCGCAAAAAAAATGTGTGACTTTAATTCAATGATTCTTTCCAATAAGAAGAGGGTTCACTTACTTTTACTACCTGAAGTGCTTGCATGGATCTCTGAATTTGTATAACATTCCAGCCAAGATAAATGAATCAAATTGTATTCTTCTATTTTAATTATGAATTACAGTAAAATTACAAATATTCAAATTTGTGATTCTGTATGTAAAATGTTATGAACTGTACTACACCTCTGCCAGCATGTCACTGGTTTTGTATTACTTCTTGCATTTGTGTAGCTATCCAGCTGATTCTTGGCATAGAAGACTGTTACTAACTCATGTTAATGTGTCTACTCAAGAGTTCCCCAGAACTGCCCACGGACATACGAGCTGATGTCCTTTGATCCTGATGGCGACAAAGTTCGATGCAGATATGGAAATATCAGAAATGTAGAGTGTGGCTCGTGTCACCAACCTTCAGGCTTCACCTTAGATCAGGTTAGTTGAAAAGTAAATTTCCTAATACATTGTTCAATACTTCACTGATGCTTTGCCTCACTTAACTTCAAAATGTTCACATCGTCAGGGCTCTTGCACATTACACTACCGACGATCCACTGCCAACCCCAGAGTTTATGCATTTGAGTTGGTGGTGGAGGACTTCCCGCGAAGGCACATCACTCTGGGCTACACTGATGGATCCCGATCCTCCAGGACTCCTCTGGTTGTGAGGAGTAAGAGAGATGCACACAGTGTGGGGGGGAGCGCAGCAGCCTTCATAAATACAACTACTTTGTGGTGGCCAAACCCAACCACAGCAGCAGCGACAACCACAACAACCACAGCAGCAGCAACAGCAACAGCAGCAGCAGCAGCAGCAACAACCGCTGCAGCAGCAGCAACAACCGCTGCAGCAACCGCTGCAGCAACAACAACAACCGCTGCAGCAACCGCTGCAGCAACAACAACCGCTGCAGCAGCAGCAACCGCAGCAGCAACCGCAACCGCAGCAGCAACCGCAGCAGCAACCGCAGCAGCAACAACAACCACAGAAGCAACAACAACCACAGAAGCAGCAGCAGCAGCGACAACCGCAGCAGCAGCAGCGACAACCGCAGCAGCAGCAGCAGCAACAACCACCACAGCAGCAGCAACAACCACCACAGCAGCAGCAACAACAACCACAGCAGCAGCAACAACAACCACAGCAGCAGCAACAACAACCATCCATGACCCCACTCCTCCACTCAGTAAACTACCTTTGCAATTCTCCTTTCTTGGTGAGTTGTTTTTTATTGACAGCATTTTCAATAAGCCAATCCACACAAAAAAAAATGTTGCAGCTCTGGCAACACTTTAATGAGATGTTACACAAGGCAGAAGACATTATTTTAGAAATCTTAAAGTCAGAAACTAGCTTTAGATTTTTAACATTTTATTTTTTCACTAAACCATTGTCTGTGAATTTTGTTTCCCACATTGAACGTCTCTGTCCTGTAAAAGTCATCCATCCATCCATCCATCCATTTTCCTCCGCTTATCCGGGGTCGGGTCGCGGTGGCAACAGGCCAAGCAGGCTGACCCAGACCTCCCTCTCATCGGCAACATGTTCCAGCTCATTCTGGGGGATCCCGAGGCGTTCCCAGGCCAGCTGGGAGATGTAATCCCTCCAGCGTGTTCTGGGTCTTCCCCGGGGTCTCTTCCCAGTTGGACGTGCCTGGAAAACCTCCAGTGGGAGGCGTCCAGGAGGCATCCTAATTAGATGCCCGAACCACCTCAGCTGACTCCTTTCGACGCGAAGGAGTAGCGGCTCGACTCCAAGCTCCCTCCTGATGACCGAGCTCCTTACCCTATCTCTAAGGCTGAGCCCGGCCACCCTACGGAGGAAACTCATTTCGGCCGCTTGTAGCCGCGACCTTGTCCTTTCGGTCATGTAAAAGTCATGTCTCTTTAAAACTCTTTTCATGAACAACATGAACAGCTACAGCCAGCAGACAATTTGCCTTTGATGAAAGTCAGCAACACTTACTGTGGCAGCTTTGAAGTTTTAATCCACAGACAGCAGCAAAGTGTCGGTTTTTAAGTATAGGTTACTTATTGCACTTTGGAACTTAAATTAAACTTCTATTTTTTAACTCTAGTGGACACACCTGCTCCCTCGTGTGAGGAAGGACTCTACTTGCCAGAGTTTTTGCCCCCAACACCTTTAAACGGAGCCCGCCTCCATGCAGAGGTCAACAGAGAAGTGGAGATCAGAGTCAGAGCACGAGCATCACACGCAACGTGAGTGAGAGGCAATGTGACCGGTGTTGCCTTGAGGCACGTGAGATAACATCAGCAAGAAAAGAGTCAATAAATCTCTGGTTTCTTTGTTTTGTTTTCACACAGAATACAGGATATCGTCATCAGCGGCCCACTGAACATCACCAAGCAAAGGAACACACATGGGGAGTTTGTCATCAGGTGGACGCCTATCCAAGATGACCTGGGGGATTTTTTTCCGATCTGCTTTGCTGTTGAAGCGGTGACCTGGTAAGCTTTGGGTTCCTTATGAGAGAATTTGTACGTGTGTGTGTGTGAAGCCATGATTTTACTTTGTAACACATTTTTTTGCAGGCGTGCTGGAACCGCTACCACACACCATCACAGTCACAATCACCACGCCACCCCATCTCCACAGTGAGTGACATTTCTCTGTGTTTGGTGTTTTTCTCTTAAGCGACAAGATATTCAAAAATTAGGAGCCAAAACCACCAGTAATAATTTGAAATTGACATATCAGCCTAACCGAAAGAGCCATTAAGTCAGCGTTCACTGATGCTTCTCAGGTCTGGCGTCTATCAGTCTGAGATGAGGTGTGTTTTGGTAGAAGTTCGGAGGGTGCAAGGTGAGTCTACTTTAATGTCAACATTTAGTTGTTTAAGTATAGCTGTAATGGTGTGTATTTTCACCAAATATATCACACGCTAAATGCTCAGTTAAAGTGCCAAATATTGGCTGTATGGCTGGTGTACTTTAGAATTTAAAAAGCCGCGAGACATGCACTTCTATAAAGTGCTGTGATTGGTAAACCTTCCTACCAGACAAAATTCAGAGCCGTCATTGGATGCAAAAAATGATTGCTCTCCACAAAAATACCACGTTCACTGTTCATACACAGTGAAACCAAACCAGCAGAACTGTAAAGAAACTTCACTATTTTTTTGATGGGAACACAACTTCAAGGTGTCCTGTGGAGTTTCCTAGTATACAAACAAAAGCCATCTTTACATTCATTAAAACACATTGTGTGTATCGTGGCCTTGGGTGCCTTTCCTCATAAAAAGTATTTTACATCCAATGTTGACCAGCACGCAGTCTTTGTTTGCTGGAACGTTGCTGAAGTTCTTGTTGACATTACTGCCCCCTGTAAATAAGTATACCATTGGTATGTAATGTTTATTTTTTAACACTCTCTTCTTCTAGTTAATTCCCATGTGATCTGCACCGAGTCCACAATGAGAGTAGAGGTTGAGAAATCTTCATTCGCTGGACTCCATGAGGATCATTTGCGGCTCAACGACGGTGCCAACACCGCCTGCAGGCTGCACTCCAACAGCACTTACGTCTTCGCCGACATCCCCCTCAGCGGTTGTGGCACTGAGATCGAGGTAACGCAGGCTTTTGTTACTGGCTGGGCTCTTCTCTCTCAGTCGTTGGTGTTGCCTTTATCTAGCAGTATGAGGACTGAATACATAACCTTTTTTTACTCTGCAGGAAGACGGGAATAACCTCAGGTTCAAGAATGAAATCACCACGTTTGACAACAGAGCCGACGTGATCACCAGGAAACACCTGCTGGAGGTGCAGTTCTACTGCCAGTACCCCAAACGTGGAAACGCGACACTGGCCTTCACAGCACACAGGCCCATCGTCTCAGTGTGGGACAGGAGCTTCGGCAGGTTCACCTACCAGTTTGAGTTCTATCCTAACGACCAATACCAAGCCATGATTGATCCAACTTCATACCCGGTGGTGTATGAAATAGGGAGCAGGGTCTACATGCAGATAGAGGCCACCTCCTCCGTCAACAACACCGTGCTGTTTGTGGAGTCCTGCAGAGCTTCACCATATGACAACCAGAACTCCCAGCGGACCTACTCCATCATTGAGAATGGGTAGGCATGGGCACACCCCCTAGTGGCAATAGAGGGCATAATAAAGTATTTGTAAAAATGTGTTCTTTGATTGTTGCTTTAGGGGCTCTTCTGTGTAATGTCACCCTGTCAGGATGTAGATGTCAATGCTTCAATTACTTCATCTTTTATATAACCTATAGTACTTTTCTTATTGTGTAAATACCAATACCTCTGCCCCTATAACGGCATCCACTGTACGGCATAGAGTAACAAAGGCAACAGTCTCATCTTTTTGTTTTCTTTTGCTCTGACTAGGTGTAATGTGGACCCGACCGTTCAGATCCATTCCCCCTCCCACCCGAGACAATTCAGGTTCAGCATGAAGACCTTCAAGTTCATCGGTATGCATGATCAGGTAAAGAACGGAGCAGTGGACTGTTGATGTCTCTGGGAAATCTCTAAATGCTCCAACGAATAGGTCCAGTTCATGATGTCCTTTCATTTATCTGACTAGTTTTACTAAGTGGTAATCAATGCACACTTGGTGGACAGGTGGATTCATGTGAACTTTATTAGAGGCACAATGTTCCCGTCATGGATCTTCATCAGGTGTAACACACAATGTGAAGCAACACATTTGTATGCTGAAGCCACAGGGCGTAACAACCAATCAAAAAGGGGAAGCAAATCTCTGAAAACACCCGAGACACTTACCACATCAATAATTGATTTAAAAAAAAAAAATACTTAAACGTAATAATGTCAGAATTTGTATAATACAAAATAAAATAGACTTATTTTCAATGAAACATTAGTTGAGCAATTCAAGAAAAGCAATTTGTCAACAAAAACACGTAATCTTTTACACGTTTTGTCAAACTCAATCTATATTTCCCATCTCACCTTTTATAGAACAAAATTGTATTTCCTTTTTTGTTTCCAATTGTAATATTTGGTTGTTACAAGCTGTGGCTTCACATTGTGAATCTGATATCTAAAGATCATGAAAGAAAAACTGCATCTCTAATAAACTCAGCGCTGACGACGTTTTAAGAAATAAACTGGTACCACTTGACATGGATGGACTTGAGGACGAGGTGGAACGTCACTGACTGTCGTGGAGATGAAAAGTGGAGCGGAGGTTTTAACTGGATCCGAGCACAGCTCTGCTGTCGGTCCGTCTGCTGGTGTGATGACAGCATGTTCTGTCTCATTCAGGTGTACATCAGCTGCACAGTCCTGATGTGTGAAGCAGGGGAACCCAACACCAGGTTCTCTGAGGGATGCATCAGCTCCACAACGCCAGCCACTTCGCCTCATAACCACCACCGCAGAAAGAGAGAGGTTGCCGTGGAGAGTGCGAGGCACTTCGTTTCCCAGGGTCCCCTGCGCTTAAAGAGATCAGCGGAGAGCAACGAAAGCTCCGGTATGAAAACAGAGAAAGTTCATTTGTTACGAGCACACTTCACTTGTTTGAGCCCTACTTTGGACCAGATCAAGTTAAAACATTGTGCTTCTTCTTTCTCCAGCGCTCCACCTGAATCTGAACCTGGTGTTCATCGCTGGATGTCTTCTCGCAGCTGTTGGCATGATCAGTGCCGTGGTCCTGTACAAGGCCAGGGTGTCAAAGGTCAAATACCAACCTTTGTCCACAGTGGAAAGTTAAGACAGCATGCAGAATACCAGTTCTGAATTAATTACATTTGACTACGTAAAGCTTTTGATTAGTTTTGCTGTCAGATATTGAGTGCTCGTGTATCTTTTGTGCCAATTTAAATGAATGAGCTTTATATTAAATCATTTACACATGTCTACAGCTTTATAAGTGGAAATACTTCAGCGAGGAAAAATCTGTGTCCGTGCAAACAGGAAACCAGAAAGTTTCAGTTTAGTAATCCAATCATGTAGCTTTACAAATGCTTCTATTATTATGTATGACATGATTTAATTATGATATGCCGCCCTACCCAATCATAATCATTGTTATGTCAAATGTTATCATCACATGTCAAAAGCCCTTTAGGGCTGGACCTTGTCATTTATGAAACAATTAGTTGATCAATAAAAACATATATTCTCATGCATGTTTTTGCTTTTGTCCACTTTAATTCATTTTTCTCTCTTACATACAAACACACTTCTCCTATTTCTTACTACAGAAATCAAAAGTGGTACATTAACTCTGGAGCTCTCAAATAAAGTTGGAATATGTCACAGAAAAGTATGTCGAAAAGAAACACCAAAAGGGCATGGTATAATATTTTAAAATAAGTCATAGTATAGTATGGCAAATGAAAAATGGCATAGTGAAGTATGTAGAATATGGTCAAAAAGTGCCAAAGTATATTATATCAAAATAAGTCATCAAAAGGCATAGTTTAGTTTGTTGAAAAGAAATCATAAAAAGAGGATGTACAGTATGTCCAAAAAAGTACAAAAAGGTCATAGTACAAAAAGTATATTATGACAAAAGAGTAATATAGTATGTCGAAAAACCCATAAAATGACATAGTATAGTACAAAATGGTCTTAAAGGCAATGTATTATATGTCGGAAAAAAACTTGTGAGAAGTAAATGAACAGTATGTCCAGTAGTATAGCCTGTAGAAAAAAGCCTTTAAAATGCACCTATAGTATGTCAAAGAAATTCTTAAAAATGCATAGAAAAGTATGTCAAACAGTCGTAAAAAAAATCATAGAATGTGTGAATCACACTGAATAATGTCTGAAGGTCCATGCCTATTACAGACCATAACCTTGTTGTTGTCCCTCCATCACCAAGTGTGGTGGTGGGAACTGCAGCTCACCCTCAGCCTCCTGAAGCCCGTCCACATGATCCGCACCAACGCCAACCTCTTCCTCCTCGTCCTCGTAATCAGGAAGGACCGGGTCGTCATGCATAAGGGCGGCATCAGGGCGGACTGAGGTAGGAAGAAAAACATTTATTTAAAAAAAATGCTATAAAATGCTATTTCCATGTGAGACCATAGCCACGGTCCAAACTTATTCTATAGGGAAAGGCCAGTGTGCACATTATCACCAGCCGAGCACTTTTAAAAAACGCTCTTACATTTGGAACTGGATTCACAAAACGTCATTCACAAACACTAATATAATCAGACAACATTTGCCCAAACTATTTTCCACTCCTTCATAGTGTATATGCAACCTTGTACTGTAAGAGATGTGTTGGTAAAAGCTGTTGTCCTCCATTGTACCATGCAGTACACACTGCAAAATACTACACACAAATACACCATCATGCTCTTATAGCATCTGTTTCTTCACTTAAAGAACATATTGACTGGGGTGCTGTGCAATAAATACATGTTAAATTGTGATGAATGGATCCAAATCATATCCATTTGTTATCGTTTGTTTAAAGAGTACAGTAGCAGCAATGAAGGGCTAAAGAGCTAAAGTGATGTGGAGTTGTATTCAGTCAGATTTAGTTATTTGGCATACAGTACTTCTGTCTACTTGGTGAGGGAAGAATGGATCAGTTTAACCCTTGTTTGCACAACACAATTCTACATAACAACCCTGTTCACATTGTATAGCCATAATAAAATTCAGACTACTATATTATAAGTCAGAACAAAGCATGTTGCATCATAGTTTGGACCTTGTGGTGATTCTGACTCTATTCAGTGAGAGATGACACTGCCTCCAATACTATCTAAAGTTTCCAATAAACTGTGAAAAACACTGAGATGAAGCCAAAAGGTTTGATTACCCGTGTGTGCAATTACGCAGGCAATTACACACGCCAAAACGTGGGTCCCTGCCGTTAATTCAGTTGCTAGTAACAACATGGTTTCTGCAAAATATCCAAAGTGAAAAATGTGCGTCTTGGCACCTCAAACTAATTTATTTTATTTAGTCCGCTGCATGACAAACCACTTTACAGAAAAAACTACATGACCCACAAATCACAATGTTATGATGACACTAACATGACTACAGATGACTGAACGCTTTGGGTTTTAGGTCCATTAACTGTCAGACATTTACATTCACCAACGTTAACGTTACATCTCTTTCATTCAGGCTCATAACAATATTGATCCGTTGGTGCATTTTAATGAATATCTTGAAGCTAGCTCTCAAATGTTCCTTCTTTTAGTTCTATCTTGCCATGGTGCAAGAAGAGTTCTATTTCTCAAAACGGTGGAGGCGCCATTTTGTTTCCGAGATTGTCAACACAAAAATCGAAGATTTGATCCCCTCAAACTAAAACAACGGTGTTTTCATGTCCCTACACATGTGTTAACACATTCCACACCTATTTCGAAGAAGAAAGTCCAGTCTTAACATATAATTATTGTTTTACACCAGAAACTGTGAGTGGCCTCAAAATCTGAGTTTTTCTAATTGGCTAGCTTAAATTTTGAACATTCTTTAACTTAATATTCAACAATTTAATGTAATTAAATGCACGTTTTGTACTGAAATGACCTTTTATGGAGTCAAGGAACATTAATAAAACACATTCGGCATGAAATTTAAAAATAAAAAATAAAAAAATGTACCTGTAGGTCTGAAGATGCACACTGGTCTGCACACCGGGGGTCCACTGGAAGCCATTATATCCAACAGGTATTGTTTGCTGTAGGTATTAAACTCAGTTCTCCAACAGTTTGTAGTCGAGGTGATCAGATCTCTGAGAGCTCAATCTTTTAGGTGCTGCAGGTAAACTTGTTAGGTTCAAGTGCAACTCAGAAAGGCCGTTTTTCGATGACGTCACTATTATGCGGCCACGCCCCCTCCACTAACGCAGGCATGCGTGTGTGAGAGAGATTTTATTTTATAGTAAATTGTGTAAATGTAAATAGTTTGGACTGCGTGTGTGTTTACAATCTAGGCGTTTCCATAAATCCGTGATGTGTGTGATGATCTGTGATGATACACTTCACATCATCTTGACCCAGAGTATACATACAAGGTTCAACCAAGAATGAAACATGTCAGCAGTTTCATTTGTGTTGTTGTTGATTTAGATATAAAATAATGAATAGAAAGGCAGTAGACATGAGTAGACATGAACTAAACTAAACTTGAATCACTGCATGCTTCCATCGACATCATGCAAAGATTGCACAATTCATGAAACCCAAATTTATCGCATTTAATTGAGTACCTTGTGGGGCTTTTTATTTGTCACTGGGATGATACCGAGCAGCCCACGGTCTGTGATTTTATTGCTTTGTGAGTAATAAAATCAGTTTTATTTTTGAATTGTTATTAATATTCAACTTTATATGCACATAGTGAGAAGATCACTTTGTGGTGCATTTTGCGACATATTTCTAAAAACAAGGGACACTAATGATGCATGTATGTCATCTGGACAACCTCCACATAATGGCAGTATTGTAACTTCATTCACTTTTTATTCACTGATATATTTTTGCCAACAGATGGCACCACAGTCTCACTTACAGTACTACAAGTAAGACGCCCTCTTTTCTTCTTCCAAACACAATCATCCCATCTCCCCAATTAAGCAAGACAACACTGTGCGGGGTGAAACTGTAACATTAACTCAGACTGCAGACTGTGTTGAAAGTACGACGTATTGTTCTCAGCCGTGACCTCATTTTACACGTTTAATCTGTTGCTCATTATCAGTCGGTGGGATAAGTCTGGGAGCAGGAAGGGTGGGAGTCTTCCTCTCGCTTTACTGTCAAATGTCTGTGTGTGGTCATAACAATCCAACTGAGAGCTGGACTGAGATTTCTATCCAGTAGATATCATGCAAATTGTACACTGATATGAAACAGCGTCTCCCCCCTGAACCAAATGTATTTACAAAACTCTCAGTTTAACTGATGTGGTGTTATATTATGAGTTATGAAAATACTATAAGGTCACTAACAACTGTTGCTAATTGCAACAGCTTAGTACCACAGTCACATTTATATCATAATAATACAATCAGTGATAGCTGAATACTTGAAATGAGGTGGTGATTAACACTGGATATCTTCCGTCTTGCGCACATGCAGGTCGAGTCTTTGGCCCAATCCCAATGTCGCCCCTAAAGCCTCAAACCCTGAACCCTCAAGGACTTACTGACATCACCTGGTAAGTGGGGGAGTGTGAGAGACTGAGGGCTTGAGACGGTGTAAATAAGAATGGGACAGCACTTTGCTGCAACATATCACGTTACCATGAAAACGACAACAAATATGATGTATAACTGTGGGTATTTATTTTATACTTTGTACTCCCTGATTTGAAAGACTTCCTGGCTATTTCCTCACTTATTCTACTTAATAGTAATACTTAACAGGAAGGCGTGCAGAGTGATACTTATCTGAATTCATGTGTTCAGCAACACCATCAGTGTCACAAATTCCACTTCATCTGAGATTGTTTTCATCCTGTCTGTTTCTCTAACTCTGCTGTTGTTTCAGGTCCTGCTATTCTCAACCTGTCATCACTCATATTCCCCTCACCTGGTCCTCCACGCCCATCTCACCTGCAGCCCATTCCCTCATTAGTCCCTCGCTATTTAGGTCTGTTCACTAGCACTCCCTGCCAGATTGTCTTGTGCGTTACTGCCAAGCTTTCCTGCATTATCCACGTTACTATTCGTGCTCGGCCTGTTCAGACCCTGCCTGCTTGGATTCGTTTGCCTTATTGACCGACCTCCCGGTTTGACCCTGCATCAACGCTAGTAAACCAAACTGTACTTGTACTCTGTCTCTGTTGTGCTTTTGGGTTCCTGTACTTGTGGACAGATAAATCTTTTTTTCAAAGCAGTGGATACAGACGTCCCAGTGAGCTAGCAGCCTGACAGCATGTTGATTCTCCTGAGACCTGAGCAGGGACCAGCTGTGCTTTTCATTTATGTCTGACGAGCTCACTGCGATATCTCTGTCTACAGAATCAGTAGCCTCATACTGATACATCCATAACACTACCAGGAAGTAGTAAAGAACCCACCATATTCCTAAAATATGTTTAGGGTTTTGTGTATGCATCTGGTTCAGTGGGTTTAGAAAAGTCTGAGAGAGACCTGAGTTACTGTGCATGTGAAAGGGGGGAGATTGGACTCCAGTGTTTTCTCTGCTGAAGTGCTTCTTTTCACGGCCTCCATTCATAGTCCGTCATTTTGGTTATCAGGGACAGAACCTTTGGACTGACCGCCAGCTGCTTCCTGGAAGCATTCTTCTCCACTTTCGATCCCTTGTCTGGGTCGATCTTATGAGGCATCTGTCGAATGAAATAAACGGTAATAAAATGTGGACTCTAGTGTAATATACTATCTTCATATATCACCAATGAGCTCTGGCATTGATGGAAGGTGTGTGACATTTGCATGTGTTTGTTGCTGCATCTTGACATGAAGAGAAAATAAGGACATTGACAAAACAAAATCAACTGCTGGGTGCATTACTAAGAAGCCACTCAAATGTTTACATACCCCATTAATTCAGTCAACAAATCCCATAAAACTATTTTGGAGCCTATGACTCACTTTAGTAGATCGGTTCACTGTTGCTTTTGGTCTTTTTGTTCGGTGATTTGTCGACAAATAGAGAATATCACCAAACTTATACTTTAACTTGCATTTCTACAAAACGGCCCAAAATCTAGAGAAATACTCTCCAAGCAGGTTTTTCTTCTTTTAATAATAATGTCTTTATTCTCAGGGTTTGGTTGTTGGAAACATCACACAGCCTGGTGTTACAGCAGACAGCCAGAGAGCCAGCTGCATGTTCAGTGAAGGGTGTGTCTGCAGATTCACAACACAATGCTATGAGCTGGACAGAGAACACGTCCTCTATTGTGGGCAGCAGAACTTCCATAATACCAACATGTTTCTTCAGACAGTCCCCACTGAATCTTATGGTTGTGTATTGCCGTCTAAAACACAAAAGCACAGGTGTGTGTAAATAACACCATTGTCTTTCATAAACTGCTATTTCGTAAAGAATTCAGACATTGAAGTCTTCCATGTGCTCATGAAAAAACAGAAATGTGGTGCTTGCCAGGGTGTCGGGTTAAGGATTGTGGGGTCAGATAATTTTCTGCAGGGGTTAGCTCGAGCTTATTCTACATTAAATCTACGTTATTTAATGAACCTTGCTTTGTGGTGGCTGGCTAGTCTTAACGTTCACCGGTTTACCCGGTCAGAGCTCTGTGCGGCAGCTGCAATGAACGGCAAAAACATTCTACAACATGTGGTTGGTAGTAAAGTCCCACCTTGAATAATAATTTTAAACACCAAACAATTTAAACATGCTTTCCTTCCTCCACTGCATGATAGACTTGTTTTGTCATGTATGACATGTGAAAGCTGTTAACAGCCGTAAATATTACCAAAACATCAATTGTGTTAAAATGATTTATTATAAAATTTGTCAAAGTAGTTGTTGCATGCTCCTGTTGTCCTTATCACGACCACATCCAGCTGTGATAAGGACAACATCAGCTTGCTTCTCTGTCTCAATAGCTCCTGCCGCGCTGCCCTTGAGCACAACACCAAACCAGCTGTCACTCCAGTTGAGATTCCAACAGTCAAATATTACAGTTACTTTGTTCATTTCCTCTCAGTCAGTGAGCAGGTTAAACCAAGTGTCCCAGTGCACTCAACCAGTACAAAATACACTCAGTAGATCTGTTTGTGTGGAAATCCGTAAAGGGGGGAGGGGGGGGTTGAGCAGCTCAAAACACCTCCTTTAAAATGCTAGTTACAGTGTGGAAAACACACGAGCTTGCGCCAAACCATCAGTAGAGGACACAAACGAGATTCAGGCACATGAATAAACATGAACACCTCCACGTGTCCGTGGCTGTGGGGCAACATTTCACCCCGTTTTCAGGAGAGTGTTTCTGTCCGGCAGCCGAAGTGGCTAGTAATGTCAAATCAGCTGGCTCCTCCAAGACCTTACAAACAAGATGGATGTTTAAATCACAAGAAATGTGCTCCCACTGCCAAAACTCACCTGCACTTGGCTTGTGGTTTCATGCCGTTGATTGATTTGAAAACCTACGAATTTGTCCATCTCCATTTTTCAGAAGTGTGCAGTGGGATGGTGATGATGTGTCGCCAGTTGTCCGCTGTTGGATTTGTCTCTCAGCATGGTCAGCGCCGTGTTGGAGAAATCCCTCAGAATGTCCACCGTCTCCCTCTGCAGCAGCAGAGACTCCTGCACAAACTCCTGCTGGCTCTCCACCAGCAGCTGGACGGACTGAGCCAAGATCTCCAGAGACTGAGACACCGAGGTCAGGAGCATCCTACTGGCCCGCTGCTGCTGGAGGCCCTGAGAGGCCATCTGCGCCACGTGGTCGTGGGCCCTGCGGGAGGACGCTCCGGCCGGGAGAGGGTCGGACAGGTTGGAGCCTGAGGTGGAGGGAGGGTTGGGTGGGAGGGCCGAGAAGGAGGGGGAAGGTCCGTGAGAGTTGGAAGACGAGGTCGCAGTAGAAGCAGCAGAGGAGGAAGATACAGCAGCGGTGAGAGTGGGAGCACCAGGAGCGGGTTGGATGGAGGAAGAGGGGGGCGCAGGGTGAGGGGTACAGGTATTGGCTGCGACAGATGTGGAGGATGAGGAAGGAGCAGGGAGGGAGGAGGCAGTCGTGTTGGAGCTTGGTGGGGATTGTGATGGGGGAGGGGCAGCAGAGGACGAGGCAGCGTCCGAATCAGACGCGGAAGGGAAAACCGAGGTGGTGGCGGCCACAGAGGAGGAGGGTCTGGGGGAGGGGTGGTTCTGGCTGTTGTTCCGGGAGTAGGTGTGGACTGGCTTCATCCTCAGCAGGGCGTTGACAGGCAGGGGGTCCAGGGAGGTTGAGGAGGGGGGGGGAAGAGAGGAAGGGTAGGAGGAGAACATGGAGTCGTCGTTTTCTTCATAGTCCGCGGTACCATCTGGTCGATCACAGAGGGACAAGGAAACACGTCAGTCCATTTTACGATCACTTGCAACTCGATCAAAACTAAAACATGTTTGTTTTCGCTTTTTCACAAGAAACTACAGAACTATACATATTATAGTATGTCAAAAAAAAAGTCATAGTATAGTAACTAACTATTAAGCAAAGAATTCGGTCTAATCTACTTCACACTTGGGTGTAATGCTGGGGTGATTTTTCAAACGTGGTGCTAATTGGACAAGAGTCCCACTCAATACTAATAAACGTTGAATAAATAAGCACACAGCGCTCTGCGTAGCAGCAGGGGCGGAGCTTCAGGGCTCTACGGGCTCGATCGTGTCGTCTGCAGCGGTTCACTTCCATAAAGTCCAAATTACTCGACTTCTGTTCAAGGTGAAGCTTTACATTTAGAATGCTGTATAGTTAAATGAATAATAATTAATTGTATACATCGTAAAAAGTAAAATCGAAATCTGCAATATAATGTACTGCGTTTAAAAGCTTTTGGGGCCTTTTGTAAATTATTTCGGGGTACACTGATTTAGATTAGTAACATTAATTAATCATAATAAATCTGTAGCATTTGTGGGGTCTTTTAGTTGGGTCTCCTGGCAGTTGCTGCTGCTGCTGCTGCTGCTGCTGCTACTACTACTACTACTACTACTACTAGAGAAAACCCCAGCTGTATTAAACTACAGTCTTACCTCCATCGTCAGCCAGGTCAAACTCAGAGGAGGAGTGGAAAGTATCGCCTGCAAAACATCGTCAAGCAGCAGTTAGAAATGTTGCAATGCCAAAAGGTAGAATACCTCAAAACCTAAATGCAATATAGTAGAAAAGAAATTCAACATGCATTAAATCAAACTGCTGTCCTCGCGTGTTACCTACAGTAGATGAATGTCGGCACGCCCAAAGTTTGGAGAAACATACAGGAGAAGCAGCAAGTGAGAAAAGCAATGTACTGCTGCTAACAGCGAGCAACAGCATGTATTTTGTGAGTCTGTATCCGAGTAGTCCACGCTATCTATTGAATCTTTTTCCACTATACCTTGCTGTCAGACAGCCCTTACTGACAAAGAACTGAAGCAGTTGACATTTGTTCTTGCAGAACACAGGAGTTCTACCGTCGTCTCGATCGGTTAGTTTGTATGACTTTGTGACTTCTGTGTTTTAAAGGGTTAGTTCGGATACACCACAAATTCCTTCCTGTCTGTTTCTGTAAACTGGGGGCGTCCCAACTGCCATCTACTATTTAATATGCCGACTATGGATAATTACTTCATACAACCCCACCTCAAAAAAATCTGTACTATCCCTTTAAGGCACTACAAATGTTAAAGGCAGTGACAACACACAGCTCACTCTAGCAGCCACTTTGGTACATGATGTTAAGATATTGGGTATCTTTTCACATCAGTGGACACAAGAACAATGTCCTGGCCTGTCACTGTGCATTTGTTATTATCCAGCTGTACTCACCACCAGGTTCCTTCTCTGGTGAGGAGAGAGGAGACATGTCGTAGGGAGCTCCTCCAGGTACAGAAAGGGAACTGTCCGTCAGGCTGAGGTAGGAGTAGGAGGGAGGGTTGATGGGCGGGCCTTTACCGTAAAGCTTTGAAAAGTCTTCGTCTTCGCCAAATTCCACATCACTGTCGCCACCTGACGACCAACAAACGGAAAGTAGTTCATTCATTAGGAACATTTCATTTAAATAAATGATTTTTCTGTTATGTAGCCATCTCTGCCCTCCTGTCCATTTCCATATTCTGTCGTATGTTTTTTTGTAAGACCTTTGTGTTCTTTTTTTACCAAAACAGCGGTTTGATCTGAGCGTGTCCCGGTTTGATCTGCAGGACTGGTATAAAGGCAGACTGATTGATCGTATCAGCTTACAACAGCCTGATTGAGCTCTAATACTGTGTCTTCTGACCGCGCTGGTGTACATGGAGCAAACAAGCAATACGGTTAAAACCTCAACACAGCAGTGTTGAACCACAAACACACAATAAGAAAAGAAGCAGCCTCTCTATGCTGCTGAATTGGAATTTCGGCAGGCCCCCCCCCCCCTCGAGTCAATTAACTCTAATGGGAGAAGTGAACGTGAACACAGATTATGACCAATTATTTTGCTCAATGGTCACCAAAGTAAATATTTATTTTCACAAGCCTCTTACCTTCCAAACATCCTGACACTAAAATCTAAGTTTTCCAACACAAATCAGGAGAAATTGAACTTCTCTGTCTCAGCAACTAATGTTCTAGATCGCACGAGGTAACAAACTTCCTGAATGCTAGACATGGCCGTTAGCTGTGTAAATAACTAAAGTTAGCAAAAGAAAAATCTAAATACATTATGGTAATATAAGTCTTCTGCTTTCATCCATCCACACGACGTTCACAACACTTCCAAACGAGGTGGAGAGAGGCAAACACGCACTCGCCCACTTAGCAGACAGGAAGTGTGAACACTTTCAAACCATGGGCGGAGCTTGTAACGAGCCATCTTTGGTAATACCTACAGTAGATGCCAGTTCTCCAAACTGGGGGCGTTCCGATCGCAATCGACACACTTCAATGGAAAACTTTTAATATCAAAATCTGTCCTATGCCTCATTCTACCATGTAGTGAGGCTTTCACATCGAAGGCCCGCCCATACAGTACATTCACCATAAATACCATTTCGATTTCACACACTCCCTGCATGTCCTCACCTCCTCGAGGACTCATCATTAGTATCTTGTTGACCATCCTCTCCACGGGGCCCAGGTTCTTCTTCCGCGTGTTGCTGCCGTTGGGGCCCCGGAGGGCTAAGGCGCGTCGCTTTCCATCACATTTGAGGTCCGCCCATTTCTTCATGATCTGACGCACCTGTGAGACAATTGAACCTCCTTTAAAAAGTCTGTCACTGTGACACAAACTGATTCATCCAAAAAGTAACACTACTAGAGGTGCTACTCCTTCATCCTCTGGAGCCCCCCAAGGATTCACAAGATAAATCTGAGGGGTCGTGAGATGGTCAACAGGACAGAAAAAATGTTTCAAATCTCTTATTTTTCTAATTTGGGCTGTTTCTCTATTGAATTAAATGGACAATTTTACCTTAAAAGGCTTCAATAAATAATTCAAATAAAAGGATCTGAGAAGGAAGGATCAGTCACAACCTGTAAACTAATGCAAGTTGTTCCAAATAGACAAATCTTTGCATCTATAAAAAAAACTAAATTATGTCCAAGAATATACCGTAACTTTAAATAGTAAAAGAATGAATAGCCTGTGAATTACCACTAACATGACTAAAAGTAGACAAACCTCTCTGTGATTCTCTCCCAGACTGTTTATCTGATTGGTGATTTCAGCCCAGGTCTGTTTCTTGGCTTCAGCCGACACTCCTTGGTTGAACTTCCCTACAGGAAGAGACGTCATCAGTTCTATACAATGAATCATCTAACATGCACTCACAATTGTATACACTGGGGCTGGAGCGACGTAATAGATTATAAGTCCATTTGCATGGAGTCACACTGTTTAAGCCCCCCCCCCCCTGTTCCAGGGCACGCAGACAATGAGTCTTTATACAGATGTCATATATATTTATGTCACAAATATTGATAATCTCAAATATTTTATTTTCATCTTCTAAAATGAACTTCAGACACTGTCACATATCATGCAATACTAGAATTCAATAATGCAATACTATACATTTATTATGTTATCTTTCTAATTATATTATAGTCTTGTATTGTGCTATTGAGTTATCATATTCTATTATAGAAATTACACAAATCTAATGTGCACTTTCGTCAAACATTTATATGATCCTTCGTACAGCTGGATGTCGCTTTTATGGTTCTAAGCTTTCTTACTTACATTTACATTACTTGACTAAAAAGGTGGAAAATGAATTGTAGAGGTTCGGGTTATTATTAGCTAACCAAAGGATTAGAGAGGCACCACACTACATCCAGAGCACTGATAGCAGGCGTGTTGAGAGGCAATCGAAATGCTCCCAAACCCGTATCACGCACCTTTACTCGAATAATCAGAACATAATCGATAAACAAATAGTCCTTAGTTGCAGGCTTACTGTACACAGTACATTGTCTGCCAATAAAAGCCTAGCAATTTCGCTCACGCTTTCAAGCATTCCCACGAGATATGAATTGGTAAAGGAGGCAAATAAGAAATCTGCTTTAACTGGGAGTCATTTTGTCTCAAATTATGACGGCGCGTTCGGCCCGTTGTATGTAAAATGAAAAATAAATACAAATAAAAATGACGGAGCCGCGGGAGGAGTAGAATATTATGTGAAAAAGCTCCTAAACAAGTGTTGGCCTCTGAGTGAAGCATGTGTTGAACAACAGATTATGGTGGATTATGTCCTTAGAGTTTGCTTGAGAGACGTCTGGAATACCTTGCTGAGCACTGCTGCTCCTGTGAACTGACCCTGGATAAGCAGATGAGAATGGATGGATGGAGAGTACTACAACACAATATGCACTTGCATGGAAGGCTCACGTAACCAGTCTTAAACGATGGTATGAGGTTGATCCAACCTTGCAAAGTGAAGCAATGAGGTTTTTCGTAAATGTATTACTTTAATCTCAGAGTTTTTTCTTGGAATATAACCCCCCTCCCCTGGTGCCATAATTATGTATTTTTCACATACAACGGCCCTAATGCACCGTCGTACAAAATGAGACGTAGGAATTATTTCTGGCATCCAGTCAAAGTCATTTTTTCGGCAGAAACACTGTTAGGTAACTGACATCTGAAGCTCCTCCAACGCTTGGTGGGGGTGGAGACGTCCGGTCAACAAGAAGCCCACACGGTGGGGCTCCCAGGCCTGGAAAACACATTCTCATTTTGTACCTTTTCCAGGAATGAATTGACCGTGGTAATCCTGTCCGAGGGTCAGGCAATAACACAATCACCATCTCCTTTTTTATCCAAGGCCGATGATATTAAGCTTAGTAATAACTAGTATACTGTGAGTAAAGCGCTTTCTACAAGCTCAACCCCAAAGATCCAGCCAAACCAAATGAGTAAAGATAATCTCCTTCCTAAAGCCAGCCAACACACACACACACACACACACACACACACACACACACACACACACACACACACACCTACTCACTGAGGATGATGTATCTGTTCCTCTTCACCGCCTCCAGCAGCTGTTTCACCTCATTGAAGGAGAACCTGGGTTTGAGTCTCGACCCTCCTCTCACTCCTCCCGCCTTCAACTCTTCATCGTCCTCACGCCAAGAGGCCGACATGGCTCCACCTTCTCCTCCTCCTCCTTCGACGGCCTACTACAACTCAGTTTGTAGCCGACTCTAAATGCCAGGTGTGTCTGGTTCTGATCCACCTGCCAGTCTGGACTGAAGACACCTGTCTGACTGCACGGGGCCTGCAACGAATGAGAGACAGCGAGGGAGAGGTTGAGGGAAGAGAAACAGAGAAATGCAAGAAGAAGAAAACACAATGTTAAAAGATCGACTGAGTAACTTTAAGTCAACAGAAGTAAGAGTTCTGATTCTCAAGCGCACAATATACCAAATGTTTCACTCTACTATACACTTGTCCAAACTTGGCACCATCATTACTTTACTGCAGTGCTTTTTACTATGAATATATGATAACATATTATATATGAGAATAATATATTATACTAAGTAGGGATGTCCCGATCAAGCATTTTTACGCCCTGTCCGAGTCATTTATCTGCTGAGTCGGTTCCGATTCTTCTATTTTCCAAGATAACACAGCTGCACAGTGCTCACTTCAAGTAGCCTACATTCAAGTTACTGAAATCCATCCAATGTATGTGCTTGACAATTGCATAGCTCTGTGTTGCATTAAAGGGAAAAAGCTTTTTATTCTCTCTAAAAGAGAGACCCTCTGTGTAATCTTTTGGTGTGGAGGGAGTTTCTCTCTCCATTGAAAGGCTCCTCAGTGTTGGCTGCTTCAGTGCACCCTGTGCCTGAGTCAGCTGAATGAACAGGGCCCTGTTGTTCTTTAATTCATTTACCAGACTTACATTTCCTACACAGATGACAAAGGGGCGACATCTGACTGTAGCCTACATTACATGTTAAATAGATGTGTTCAGCTTTAATCTGACGGGGCCAAAACACAGGGCCAGCAACTAAAGATGATTTTAAATATATTTGAAGAGAAATATATATAGAGATTAAAGACGTAGACATTGTTAGATCACAACCTGGTCTGGTAATAATGTGTTTGGGCATTTAAAGGTTAAAATACAGTGGGTATTTAATGTACAACTACTTGGATCAACAGCCTTCAGTGGATTTATTTCTGTTCCTTCAATAATGTAGTAAAATTGAATCAGAAACTGAAATGCTGTTTCAAATCGACCAGACGCAGCTTTTTTTTAAACTCAAATATTAGAAGAATTATGTTCCATCAGTGACAACTGACATCAACTGTGTGCACAGAGTGACAGCGTTATATATATTTATATAAAAAAAGAAGGACATGCAGATGTCTTCTCTTAGCTGAGGACTGCTGTGTAATATTGAAATGTGAGGGGCTGAGGGCAATGACTGACAGCAGTCACTACAGTCACTTTAGATAGCCCTGAGTAACATCCAACCAGGCTTTACACTGTGACCTACAGTAAAACTTGACACGCGCTCTTATACGCTCAGCAGCTGATACCGATCAACAACGTGCTAACATTACTACAACAATGAAAGGAAAGTGGCCTGCAGCCTGAAAACTCTAAAGGCCAGCCCACTTAGAAAATTGGCACTTTAGGAGTAAAAATGGTCAGAAAATAGTAAACTATGAACATGGTTTTTGGTGACACACTCTGAAACTGACAGGTTTGCACCTGTACTTTCAAACTAACTTTTGTTGTTGTTTTTCTAAAAATGTTGCTTTGGACGAGTATCTGCCAAATGAAGATATATAAATAATCCATTATTTTCTTCATTATTACGATTACCAGTGAAATGAACAATTTCATCTATAAACACAGGACATTTAAATAACAAATACAATGTGGTTTCTGCCCTGTGGGTCATGTTGTCCGACACTTGGTGGCAGTATAAAACAGTATTCAAGTGCAACATTTTTTTTTCTTTATCAAGATAAATAAAAGTGTGTTTCAGAGCCAAGATTGCACAACTTTTAAATAACAAAAAGTAGGGAAAAGGAAGCCGGTAGCGGGTGCACTCGTTTAAACACACCGTGACATCCTTCAGATAATTTAAAGGGGTCATAAAGTCATGAGCTCAAAAAGGATTTCTCCAGACTCGGTAAAACAAATGAATTCAGACAGTACTATACCTATGCTCTTTTCACACGAGTGCCACTGATGACTAAAGGTGAAAACGGGCCCTACATATGTAGATTACAGACACGGATTTACTGCGTGATATCTTTTGAGCTGAGTCACAGCTATGCCCTCATACTCCACTAGAAGCAGCAACACACTCTGTGCACCAACGTCTCCAAAGTCCCGACATCTAATCCTAACACCAGAGTTGGAGTCGTGTACATCGGTCTAGATCACAAGACCGCTTTTTCAAAGTCTCTTCCTCATCTAATGCATTATTTCACTCTAGTTTAGACAAAGAGATCTTTTTGTTTCATTTCAAGGCCGATCCAGAACACAACTGGTTCCTGTGCCTCAAAATGACTTCCTTTATTTTATACGTGTAATTGAACGAGTCCCCGGGCTTCGATACATCTCAGGTATTTGCAGCTTTTCTGCTTTTTAAATGTTGACTGTTGGCATTAGTTGTTCTATTTTCTAGATTTAGCTGTGCGTTTAAAAAAAAGACCTCATTTAAAACTAGGCTTGTTGTTAGTGAATTTTTTAGAAGAGTTTATGAATTGTTTGGTCTATCAGAGGAATAGTCATGTGTTTTTTGTGGGTGTTTTTAGGAGAATGTGGCTGTACCAGATCAATTTGAGGAGTGCCTCTGGTGTGCATGTTCCACATTTTATCGTAGGCGAGTCATGCAGTGTGGGACTCTCGGTCGTGACTCTGTCTCAGTCACAACCTGGTCTCGGTTTGGGTGGTCTTTACCTCGACAATGTGAAAAAACTCAATTCACCACAATGGGGAAAAAACATGCCATGGCTGGAGTAGAAAACAACACAAATACTGTGATTTGAAAATGCCAAAGAAACAGAAGTAATATTGTTTTCACAGGCGTGTCCCTACACTGCTGGTTGTGGATTGTATAGTAAAAAATACCTTATTTGGAATTACACCCAAAGATGAGTAATGTTTTATTGTTTGGTGTGAAGCGTTCCATCTATAAAGCTGCTTTTTAGAGGAAAGATTTGATTTAAAAACCTAAATTTCTTCACAAAAGCCCGTGTTCACATGCCCTTAAATATCTACACAACATTACCGTTAAAAAGTTGGGATTTGTCCAACTTAATTGTGTTCATTCTATACAGTATATCTGAAAGGTGTTTCATGATTGTAGGTTGCAGAAAGTCATCATTGCATTGAGTTATCTGAGTACAGGGAGAACACAACACTGTACAATGGTTCAAGCAGCCTGACGACTGAAAGAGACAAAGGTCCCTCTGAGCAACAGTTGAATAAGAACAGAAGAAATCAGCAGTCACTGGTAAAAGAAACTAGAAGCCTAGCATCTAAGTAGGTGTCCTGTTCACTGCCAAGTGCAAAACAAACAGCTTATAACGAGCTGGAATTAAGAGGCAACGTGTTGCTTTAGCAAAGCTCTTCTTCAAACCTCCCAATAGAAATAGAAGGTTGGTGTAGTGTTAGTTAGCACTGTTGGAATATCAGCTGAACATACTGTGGACTGACAGATCTCAGTCTAACCCTCTTCAATGTAACCCCTGAGTAGACTGCAGAGGGCCCAGAGAAATAAGCACCAACTCTAAATATGAAGAGCCCAGTTGCCCCGATGTGCTGCAATAATGACTGATGGTCACGTGCACTTTTCAGGACTGGAAAACAAATTCAACATCCAAGTTCAAACAGTATTGTCCCCGTACATGCAACACTGTGGGGACATCGACTAAATGGAAGTTTGAATCATTCTGTTCTTCTTCTTTATGAGCCAAAGCTATTTCAAATGTAAATAATACATTTGGTATCTGAATTATAGTGGTTTTTTTATCTCTACTCAAACAGTTATTGAAGGAAATAAATGGTACATCTCAAGGGGTTTCAACCTAATAAATCAATTTGAACCAAAAATACCTTGTTAGTCAAGCTCCTCGCATTAATGCAACATTAGTTGTATTATTGTCCACATTTTCCTTTTTATTTGTCTCCAACTTAGCCATTCACACGCCAGTATAATGTTAATGCATGAAGTCAAAATGTATACGATATGAACAAGTCAATAACTATTGAGAATAACTTCTGAATACGAGATGATTTAAATCGTTTGCTCTGACCACGTGGTCCGTCTGAGCTAATCAGCTGTGATCTTCCTGTCTTTGTTGAGCTCGTGCCTGCCTCTCCCCCTGCTGCTCGTGCCTGGCGGCTCACACAAGGAGCAGCCCTGACGGATTCCGCCATCGCTGTGCGCTAAAAACCACACTGCGTTACGTTAAAACGGTGAAACGGGAATCCACGGCGAGTTTCGGAAAACATACGTGGATTTATCGAGGATTTAAACGCGCGTCTACAACGCGGCGTGTTGTGTTTGTGCACCGACTAACAGCAACCGTTACACAACTATTGGTAGTCGAGCTCGAGTACGAGATGTCCGGTGCTACGCTCTTTTTTCGCATCGTAGCTATCATTGTTTCACGCATTGCTGCGATAAATCACGCGCGCGGTCTGTTATCGAGAATCCTTCGCGCTGTGCGGTGTTAAAAAACGCTGAATATGTTGAAAATAATTACCAGGAAAAATGGCGTTGTTCTCTCCCTCCCCTCCTTCCTCCGTCGGTTCTCCCGAAAGTTCGGAGTGTCGAGAACAACGGAACTGCGCAGACTCCGAATTTTTTTTTTCTCCCTTGAACGCGCAACATTTTGCAGCTTCCTGCGCGCCCCCAGCTGCCCCAGATACAGCGTGCACCAATCACTAACAATCTCAATGAAATCTAGCACAAAACGCACAAATTGTGCGCAAGGAACACTATTGTTAGTATTTAATGAGATAAACTGATGATCAAATATCCTCGCGATGCTGACAGTTCCCCCAAACATCCCCTACTCTTAACCCAATAAATGTGTCCACAGCCAGGGCCCGTTTTTAAGCTTAACTTCATTTTAGCATTTCATCACTATTCATGCTCTGTAGTTGCGCCATTGAACGTACTAGTCTTAAACCAGCCGTGTGACAATCATGGAGAGCTGCATAGGTCAACATCTTCATTGTACTAATATATTAATAATAACCACACCATTAAACACAAACCATAATATCTTATTTCCAACATTAGGCCCGGTCACACTCCAATGTAGATCAAGACCGGATGTAACAACAGTGATACCTCCACATCCACAGCAGCTAATGAAACAATGTGAGCCCATGGAATTGGCTTTAATGAAAAACACACACAAGCACAAAATAGTAGCACTTCACTCTCAGAAAATGCTGTGATTCACACGAGGTCTTGATGGTGTCAGCAAAAACCTTGATGAGCTCAGATTCCTTTTCAAACGATGGAACAAAATTATAAAGACATCACCAAGTCATCGTCATTTCACCACCATTTTATATCAATGTGGAGAAGAAAGAAGATGGAGAAGCCACGGAGAAAAGCAGGTTCCATGTTCGTCCGCTTGGTGTCGCCAGAGATCTTCCTCTGGGGACGAATACGTGTTTCTTTCCTCTGGGCAATATCCAGCAGCGCCTGCAGAGGGCGCCATCACGCACGTGTTTCACCCTCTATAGAGCGTTTTAGAGTAGAGAGGGGGGAGTGATTACACAGAGGGGGGGTATTTTTTTCATTTTGGAAATTTGGACATATATCCTGCACACATGACTTATTAGAGCTTTTTTCCCCTTTTTTAAATGATCTGCCAGGTAGAAGTTAAATGCCCGCCCCGGCCCAACGGAGACAGTCTTCACAGGGCTGTTTTCCATATGTTCACCTTTTGTGGAAAGAGTTCTTGATTTGACTTGATTCTGCTCTCTGCTGCTGCTGGTGGTGATGGTGCCGCTGCAGTGACCCAGTTTCCCCTACAGGTATCATTAAAGCTTCCTATGATAAAACGCTCTGCCGAGTGACCGCAGAGGCCACCTTAAGAGTGTTCACAGAGTGTGAAATGCAAGTGACGAAGGCGTGAAACAGTTATTATAATCCTATGACACGTAAAAGGATTATGTCATATCAGTATCAGACTCCCCATCACGACGAGAGTAAACAGGAACACAAGATAATTAACACCTCACTAATGAGAATCAGTCCCCATAGGAATACCCCAGCAATAATGTCACACGGAAGAAACCACTACTTAAACAAACACCTATGTAAAGCAGTGAATAATAGCTGCAACACTTTGGCAAAGCATGCAGAAGCATATGCTAATTGCAAGTAGGGTGAATTAGTAGAAAAAGAGTGAAATAAAAGAGCGCTCCTTCTATCGTTTAATGAGGTTGTTGGCTTTCTGGTTGGCAGCGCCGATGCGGGACACGTTGAGAATAGCCTGCAGAGAGAGAAAAGAAGAAACAGGAAATGTAAATGAGAGCCAGAGTGACGGAACCACTGGAGCTCTCTGTCTATCTCTCAAATTTCAAGTTGGCTTTATTGCAATGGCCAGTCAGCTAAAGTCTTCCAAAGGCAGGTTGGTCAAACCTACAATGTTACGAGGGTAAACAAAAATAAAGCAATGGTAAAATATTACTACATAGTATGCTATCAAAATATTTAAAAAAAATAAAAACTATTAATGATTTTTATGCATCTCTTAATAAAGCAAGCCCACTAAAACAGGAGTGTGCTGCTTTCATCTCTCTCTGTCTCTTCTTCTTTTGCAGTTTATGTAGTCCATAATGTATTTTGTGAAAACTGAACCCTGAACAAAGGGCCTGAAAGGTTGCAGATGTGGATATGAAAAAGGACTGTGGTGGTATTTAAAGGTAGACTCCAACAGTGTTTGTGTCTGGGTTTTCAAATGGAAACGCCCACTCAGTTAGCAAAAAGCTAAAGTAAGGTGATCAGGTTATGAATAATGTAAACTGATCAACCATAGCTTTAAAGAGAGCAAAATTATGGCTTCAGTTCCCCACCAGAAATGGTTTTCTGACGGCAAGGTAAGGCAGCTGTGGAGGGGAACAGCAGAAACCTTTGAGTGTACGTTATATTTAGAATATACAGTATATCACCGTTTTACCTTGCTGTCACACAGCCCTTTCTGATGGGGAACTGAAGCCGTTGTATCAGTCGCTTCAAAGCCACCAAACTGCATTTAAAACAAGTTAGTTTGATATATATATATATATATATATA